AAATATGCATATGCCATGCCTGATCGACACACAGGGAAGCTGTAAACCACTGTAGCTTGGCACAGCAGCTATGCAGAGAACAAACTAGGGGGTTATTCACTAAAGAGCCAACGGATGTAGCCCAACGTTCGGCTAATCCTTCGGCTCGCTTCGGCTGCAACAACCCTTCGGTGCAGCCAAACTGAAGGGCTGCTGTATGCAGCAGCCGAAGCACACAGCTGAGCCGAAAGCCCATGCTTTGGCTCGGTAAAGCCGAACACACAGCCACAGCGGGGAAAATGGTCCACCATAATGGACCGAATCCTCACAAGTTGTCAAAAACAGCGATTAGCTGAACAGGCTTTGGCTCCCTTGTTTTCGGCTCAGTTATTCATTCGGCTGCCTTCGGCAGCTTAGTAAAAAACCCCTAAAATTTTTATCAGTGAATACGAGGCCTTCCGATTGGACGTTTGGCAGATCATATCACCTGCAGACTGTATCTATTTTTATTGTTTGGAAAATAGGTGTAAACCATATGAATAAAAGCTGGCCATTGTAAGCACCCATGTCTGTGTTTTAGGTTTTCCCAACCCCTAAAACTGTTTCTTTTGCTGGAAAGCTTGGCCTGCATGTAAACGTGCAAAAAAAATTTAATTAAAACAAAAGAAATTGATATGGTATTTACCGCGCGATATCGCCCTCCAATGCTTGGCAATGGGGCAAAGGGTCCTGCTGTCGCGGGTCGTGTGTCGCTACAGCAGGACCCTTTTTGGAACGGATTTTGCCGCGAATCGCCAAGTGTGAATGGGGCCTTATAGTTTAACAGAATACAAGGGGCGTTGACCGTCCCCAGGCAACATGAAGGTATACGTGACTTGTTTGCAGTTTAGATTTAGGATTAATTATCAGTACATGATTTATGTGCCATAATTATCTGGAATTCTTAAAACAGGAAAAGTGACCCTTGTTTGCACAAAAACTAGAGCAGCATTGCCTTGGGCAAAGTACTCAATGAACAGGTACAAATAAGAGACAAGAATGACAATACGTATTCTACACCTCCACCATACCCTAAGGCAGTGGCGGAACTACCAGGGTCGCAGAGGTCGCGGCCGCAACCAGGCCCTGGAGTTCGGCCACTTGGAGGGGGCCCAGGACAGGAGGAAGGGGCCACTGGTGACCGCTGATTACCAGTCCCGGGACCTCTTCCTCCCGTCCTAGGCCCTACATGCTTCACGCTGCTCCCCTCATCTTGTTCCGGGCGCAGTGTGAAGCATCATCCAGCCGGGCAGCAGCCAATGAGAGGGAGCGGTGTAATCCCCGCCCCCTCATCACACAGAACTGCCGCCGAGTGCCGAGTGCTGCGTACACGAAGGGGGAGACCGAGACAGGGAGCTGGAAGTATCAACGAAGGTGACATGGGGTCGCTGGGGACATGAAGGGGGAGATGAAAGAGGACAGTGTTTTTTTTATTTCCTTGTCTAATTTTGTTTTTAAAAAAAAAATCTAATTTGTGTCTTCTTGGGGGGCCTTCATGGGATTCTTGCATGGGGCCCTGAGGTCACTAGTTACGCCACTGCCCTAAGGCCTTCTCCTCACTCAAAGCCCATCCCAAAGGACACTTGAATATAATGTAGAAAGTTTGGTCTTTCTTTGGAATAGTTAAAAAGTTAATGCAAGTAAAAGTTGGTGAATCTTGAAGCAAAAGTTAATGCAGGCATAGGATGATAAAACTCAAAACAAGATGGAGTCAAGTAAGGTGCAATCTTGCACTCACAGTGGTAAACAAGATATTCACCACATACAGCTACCAGAATACATGATTATTGCAAAAGTGGGCCTTTAAGATCTACAGGAAAATCTTGAACTGAAGGGGAGCTATGACCCTTCTCTTCTCTGTTAGTCCTAAATTATAAGGTCCGAAAGATGGTGGACTTACGCCTGACTTCAGGATCAAAAGTTGAGAGTTGCATTATAGATTGTCCCAGCATTCAAGTTCCCAAGCCACTCTGGCACTTATCTTCAGGCAGGTGCAGGAACCTCTAGGAGCCAGATTTAAAGTTGTGTTGGCAATTCAAAGTGGATGTTGCATCTGATATACTGTATTCCTTATGCTAACTGCATGCTAAATAATGTAGTGTCATATGTACAGCTATTTATTGCCTCTCCTAACACAGGAGCTCAAAGCTTAGAACGTGGGGGCTTTTAAGGTACTGCATTGAACACAGGCAAGACACTCACAACTTTGTATAAAATTCCACCAATTTATTGATTCACTTGTTAAAATCCATTAAAAAGACTCCAATGTTAATCATTAAAAACACTCCAACGACATGATTCTTGCTCACATGTACTTCATATGCATGAAATATTGTGTATAAAGCATGGTCACATCCACTACAGCCTTCTTAGGCCCCCCCAGAAATGATCTCTACAGCACTTCCGGTGTCACTGTACACAGTCTCCGGCTCTTAGAAGCTGGGAAAGCAGATCTCGGCTTCATCAGCTTCTTTGGGGTCCCTAGGTGACATTGGGATCTGAAAGACCCTGATGTCTCCATAAAGAGGACCTGTCACATCATATTTGCTCTTACATAGGGGGATTGTTAGCCCGCTGTGTGATAGCAATAAGGTTAGTGTATAAAAATGTTTTAAATAAAATAAAAAATTGTAAGTAACATAAAAAATCTTAAAAATGCAAAAACATTTTTGTAAACTCCCAGCCCCTCAAGTGTACGCACATACATACACAAACACGCTTTGTTTCACCATGTGCAAAAACGAAAATTGCGCTACACGTTACATATCGCCGTGAACATCGGAGTGCGAGCAATAATTTTAGGGCCATCAATCACTGTTGGCACTAAACTAATGAGCAGTAAAAGCTTTTAAATTGGCCGCTATGGGAAATTTTAGGTATTGTAGTTTTTTGTGGCTTCATGGGCAAACGCAATTGTAAGGCTTGACATGTTTGGTATCTATTTACCCGGCGTGACCTTATCTTTTATATTTTACCAAACAATTGGGTATTATATTCTGTTTCTGTGCGATAAATTTAATGTTAGTGTATTTTATCCTAAAAATATTGGTTTGTGCAAATACCGTGCAACATTAAAAATTGCAACTAGCATTTTTTTATTCTACATGACCTCTGCTTTCAGAACATATATCATTGTTGGGGGTTTGAAGCTGTTTTCTAGCCAAAATTTCCGATTTAATCATGCGTGTGCAAATAGTAAGAAATTGCTCGGGACAGCAAGTGGTTAAGTATGCATTTAAAAAACAAAACCGTTGCTGTGTATTGTGACATGTCCGGAATGTATTCATCCAAACGTATAAAGTTTCTGTGATGTCCGCTTTGATAGCTATAAAATCACAGTAGGTATACTTTCATCAGATGTATTGTTGATAGCTAGCGGCTGACAATATCACCAATTTTTGTCTGTGAAGGTTCTCCTTTATACAGGTCATGGTAGAGATGGCAGTAAGTTGCAGTAAGACATTAAAGTGACATTAAACCCTCAGATTTTTTAACATAAACCAATACTGTAATGTGTGCCTTTCTGTAATCCATGGTAGTTTCCCTTCTATTTCCTGCTCTTCCTTTTAAATCCTCATGTCTTCTCATGCTGGGGGAGAACTTCCCTTTGCAGCTGAGTACCTCTTCCTGTAGTGCTGGCTCAGGTTGCAAACGTACACACAGACACCATGTAGCCATTCCAGAGACAAGGCAGTCTGCTGCAAAACAGAAATTCTGCCCAGCATGAGAACAGATACAGATTTAAAAGGAAGAGCAGCAAAGAGAAGGGAAACAACCATGGATTACAGTAAGGCACACATTACAGTATTGTTTTATGTTAAAAAATCTGAGGGTTTAATGTCACTTTTATGGAACAAGTCCAGTTGAATGCGTCTCTCTACTTCTAGATATAACACCAGTTTTTCTTTTGCTTTGAATTTCATGAACGCCTTCGTTAGTAATGTAATATACAGTTGTACAAAAGACATTTGCACCGCCTGGTGGACATAAGAGGTATTGTGATGCGTGGTCCTTGTTTGATTCCCTACTTGGTTCTGAGTAGATGATTGTTATTGTTTTTAGAGGACTATAACCTTACAGGCACAGCTATCTCACCTCCCTGTACACACACAGCAATGCTGCTACAGACATTACCTGTTTGTAGGCAGTTGCCAGTGACAGGGCAGCCTAGCTGGCTGCAGGATAAAGTGGGATAACCGGTGTATATAACTACTTTCAGCCGATTTTGATATGTTTATGTGTAAATATGTTCAGAACTGTTTAGCCTCTATAATTGTCTCCAGCACCATTTTGGAGAAGCCTGGTGTCCTGATAGGACAGGAATTCTCGGGAGATTTGGGCGGCCATTTCGGGGTGGTTATCTGATATAGGAAGCCCAACCACGTTTTTGGGCAGAACAAGTGTGAAAGTAGACAGGGACAGGTACCCCGCTTGTGAGGGAGAGTTAGGAGAGTTCAGGGAAAGTGTTCCGGCCTGTGAGGGATAGGTCAGGGTTCCTACGGAGTCCTGCATCGGCAGTTCTGGTCGGAGGAAAGACTCCCAGTGCTAATAGCCAAACCTGTGTCGGCACTGTGAGTGCGGGAAGAGTGTGCCAGACTCGTATCTCTCTGTATGGAACGAATACCGCTGCTCCCGGGTAACGTGTTCTCAGCCTTTACAGATACACCTTGTGTGATTGGATTTGTACTCTGCCAGTTAGTGGGAAGTGCTGATAGTGCTAACGAATACAACTACCGCTTATGTCAGAAGTGACTGTACTGTGTACCTGTGCCTTCATGCCTGGAGTGAAACTGCTGACCTTACTATTGTAAATATTCTTCCTACTACCGGCTCTCCGGTAATAAACGTTACCTTGTTTAAAAGACAATTCCGTGTGATTACCTCTGTGAAACCGCCACACCCTAGACCCGCTTACATGTTTTTTCAGTGTCAATGAATTGCAATAATTTATATAATATTTGTATATTTTTTTTTCTTTTTAGGAAATGTATTTCCCCTTGATTTTCCTGTTGGTACACTTACAACTTTCTGGTTTTGGTGAGTAAACATAGTTTTATGTATTTTTTTTGTTATCCATGTTTGCTAGGTTTGCTGTTCTTTAATAGAAGCCCAGTTTCTCTAAATTAGCTATATGAAAGCTCAAAGTCTTCCCCTGATAAATATGCCATCAAAGGTTAATTTAAAGGGTATGTATGGGCAAAAACTAAAAATACGTTTGTATTGCTAATTTAAATTTCCATGTGTTCTGTCCCACTCTTAATAACCATGTTCATCTAGTCGTTTGTAAACTTATTTATTGAAGATGCCAATAGGATGTACTTAGCAGCCCTGTGAATGCACTTCCTTGTGTCACCACTCTAACTAAGCCTGCTGTCTAAACTACAACTCAACATCTGAACTTCCCACAATGTAACATCATCATTGCTTGCTGGAAGCATAGCATGATGGGATATGTAGTCTTGTGAAATCGAGATTGTAGCAGATCAATCAGCAGGGAAAGAGACACAAAGCACACTGGGAATCCAGAAAGTTGTTGGAAGTAATGGGCAGACAGAAGGCAGCACCCACTACAAAAGGATTTTTTTTCAAGTAAGCTTTGACTGCATTATCAAAAACAACTCCGGTATGTATTCCTATTACAATGCTGATATTATACAGGACAGTATATGCTGGGACTTTACAACTCCTTAGAGAAGACTTCAAGAAACTTGACCCAATTGGTGCCTATTTATTTAGCTGTAAACCATATGTATATTGTTTTCATCAAAACCCTGTTGAAGGCCTGTCTCTAATTCATTCCCGTTCAGATTTGGAGGTAATTAGATGTAAATAGATGCATTTCCGTTTACATCTGACTCTCCTAGACTAACAATCAGCTTCCGAACAGGTTTCCCTGAAAAACTGACAGAAGGACCTGATTGGAACGCCATATGAATGGGGCCTAAGTTTAGTGATTGAGTTAAAGCTCTGCTAACTTCATTATCCAATCATGTGCAAAATAGTTTTTTTTATTGTCCTTGCACATGATTGTGTATTTTTGCAAAGTGAATTTTCACCACATTCAGTGAATTAAGGGCTAGTTCACACCAGAACTGCGTGCGTCTGCGCAGCTGCAGTGCAATACGGTTTGCCGTGATTTTACTGCAGTTTTGCCACAATTTCACAGCAATTTTACCGTGATTGATGCATATTATTTTTGCTTAATATGGGATTTCTGGTGCGTTTGCATGCATTTTTGATGCGTTTTGATGTTTCCGGTTGCAATCTCATGAAAGCTAAAGTAGGGCAAGCAGTATTTTATCTGACTGCATCAAAACGAACTGCACTGGTGTGAACAGAGCACCAGAAATCCTACCGGAAAGCATTGTGATGCATTTTGGATGCAGCTGTCAAACTGAATGGACTGCATCACAATTGCATCTGGTTTAAACAAGCCCTAAGGGAAAATTCCCTTGCAAAGTGAGCAACCTATTTGCTCTCATATATGTCTTTGAAAATGTTCTCTATTCCCAGTGGAATTACACAGTTTTAAACAATAGCATTGTGGTCTTCCACGACACTGTTCACAAAAATGAAAATACCCTCCTTAAACCAATGACATGGCTTTAACAGGGAACATTGTGCTAATTTATTTGCGATATGTAGTGGGCTCAGTGATATAAGCAGACTGGAGTGTAAGAAGCAAAATGCTTCGTGTCAGTAATATGAAAAATGAAGATCTCTAAATCGGGGCCAGGAGGTGACTACAATGCAGATTGTTATACCTTCTGTGCCCCAATCCAGGGATGTAGGCTGCCTGCCACTCGCCTTGCTTTCTAGCATGTCCATGTTGGGTTACTAGATAGCTGATTACATACATCACACATACTGTATATGCCCAGGTAGCCCATTCACTTTCAGAGAACCAAAATATAAACCCGGAGTTACTTCACAACCTTACAAATTACTCCACACATCTTCCATGATACAGATTCACCTTGAAGAGCAGATTCCAAGTCTAAGTTTGTGTTTATCAGCACTTACTTTGAAATAATTACTATTAATCATTTGAAGCAAAACTATTTTATTTTAAGCACCCCTAACTGGATGCTATATCTGCTGGTGCACCTTCAGCAATATTGAATGCCTTAGCAGTACCTTACACACTAGGAGTACTCAGTTATAGCTAACATACAGATCAATATCAGGCAGAGCACAGATTCTGCTTTATGGGCAATACAAAGGGCAAAATGCTTTTATGACGTAGGGGCATATTTAAAATAAGCAGGCCATTCTTGTCATACTTGCCTACCTAGATTCACTTACATACATCAGGCTAATTTTTATTTCATTTTAAATAGATGAATGGATTTGTGTAATATTAGCGCAGTGCAATATTTTGATACTGGGTTAGGTGATAGTTGTGGGAGTATAGGTTCTTATAGTCAAATTTAGGGTTGCTCTTAGCATCTGAAGGTTCATGCTCATATCTCTGGTGTTGGATTCCAGAAGCCTTAACTTAATGGGTGGAATTTATCAAAACTGGAGACAGAATTTGGAGCAATTGCCTATAGTAACCAATCTGATTCTCTTTTTAGTTTTTTCAGTTAAAGGGTTATTAAACCCTCTGGTGTTTTTGCATATATCTACTGCTAGCAAGCAGTAGATAAATGCAAAAAGTGTAAAAAACAAAACAAAAACGCTATAAAAGCGGTCTAAACTTACCTGTGTCTTCCCCGCGCGCTCCCGTCCAAAAATGTGAAAATTCTCGGGCGGCCTCAAAGCATCTTGGGGCGGGCGCATGCGCAGTTCGGATTTTCGGCCAGGAGACGAGGAGAGACACAAATGAAGTATATGGACGGCGTCCACCTGCATGCAGACACCGTGGGACAGGAAGTGCCAGCAAGGACAGAGGAGTCAGCGCTGGATCGGAGACATCATTCACAAGAAACATCATTTAAGGTAAGTGCTTTAATTAACATTGGGGGGAGGAAAGACTATCTCTGACTTTAATGTCACTTTAAGCTTTGATAATGAAAGATAGAAACTGATTGGCTGCTATGCACAACCGCTCCACATTCTGTATGCTCTAGTTTTGATAAATTCCCCTCAGTGTATCCCACCATGCAGGCTACCCCTGAATTTACAAACGAGGGACAGCATGGTCTGGTCTGAAAATCATGTGCTTTGACCTTTTTTGTTTTCCTTCTCAAATAGTCTTTGGTTTGTCCATTAGCTGTCACTGAGGGTTATTTTGCATTTCATTACATTATTCTCTTACATCTCCATGTATAGAGGATGTACATTAATCATGGAGCCTGGAAAAACTAATGCATATGCATTGACTTTTGTTATAGCCCATGCACAAGTATGCACTAAGACTAGAGCAAACACCTGCCAGGAATGTATCCAATCTGGGGAACACTGCGCTTGGTGTAAGAAGCTGGTGAGTTAACACTTTGAAATGACTTTTTTTAGATAATAGTTGCCTCTGTTTTAAGTAGGATTCCGTTAATGGAGTTCCTTGTTATTGTAATATGTTAATAATCTACCTGTATATGAAAATGCTGATGTTACTATGGTAAGTAGAACTAATGACAACTGGGAATATGCAAAAAAAGTGAATGTTTAGTCTTAGAGAAGAACTCCAGGGAAAAAATGTGTGTTTTGGGAAAGGGGTTATGTGACCATATCTCATGATACACCCTAAATATGGGTGTAACATGAAACATGGTCCAAAGGGTAGACTTTGCCTTTAAAGAAGCTCAGCAAACACAGTACCCTTTGTTTAACCAGATTCTCTTATTTATGCTTCCCCTTAAAAACGGAAAATGTTTCAATAATGTACTACATTTGGTTATAAAACTATATATTTTATTATTATTCTGTAATAAAAACCATAAAATAGGCTCTCTGAGCTCTGTCATGACACCTCCACATTCACCGATATAATGTAGTATAACCTTTTAAAATAGTATAATAACAATAATGTCCGTGCCAAAATTGTTGAGCAAGAGGTAAAATAGTTGATCTATGAATACAAACATTTTGTAAACATGTATTGAACTGCAGACAAAGTCTCAAAATTCTGTGGGATATACTCAACATAGATTATTAGATGGGAGTGTAGGTGGGGAGGTAGTGGGGAAATGTGGTTGCAGTGTTGTTGATGATCGAAGACTGTGGCTGCAGTGGGGGTAGAATATGACAATGGTGTGGGTAGGAGTGGTCTGTGTCCTCGGAGTGGTGGTATGGGTGTGTGGCTTTGGAAGAATGTGCCTACATTGTCGAAGGGGCATAACTACAGAGTAGGAAAAATGTGGCTGTGTTGTGATGGGAAAATTGTGGCTGTGGTGAGAGGGGAAGAAGTATGTGGCTGTGATTGGGGAGGGGAGAAACATGTGGCTGTGGTGGTAGGGGGG